CTTCTCTTACCCTCTCTTTTTGGTTCCTCGCTTTGAGCTGGTCCAAACGAGTGGTCCCACTCATCAGAAAGGAGTGTGGTAGATATGTTTTTCCATGTTTTTCCCCACTCATCATCCCCACTCATCATAAATGAGAGTGGAATATACCCTCTTTTTAGAGGATTGGAGCTTAGCTTTATAACTAAGCATTCCATGGTTAACAAATGATGCCTAACTAATCTCTTATAATATCTCGATTGACAAAAGTTAATTTTGATTGATATTTGTTATATGCAAGAAACTCATGCCCTTTCCTAGAATTCTTGTGTGGTTACCCATTCTACATAGGGTCTGAACTGAGCATTTTTCTATGGATAGGCTCATCCCGCTCACTTCAAATGAGTGTGGTGTATTTCCTCTTAAGGGATATATTTTGGTTTGTGCCTTATGGCTAAATATTATTTGGTTCGTGCACTCATTTTTTTTCAACCTTTCTCAGGTGTCTCGATTGATCGAGGTCAAGTTCGATTAATACCTCCTTTGTGCAGGAAAGTCATGCTTCTTTCCTCGACACCTCTATTCATTTAAGCACCCCATGTGGGTCCGAATTAGAGTTTCCCACTCACATTACATGAGTATGGTTGTTTCCCCTTTCAAGGGATGTTTTTGAGTCAACCTTAGGGATACGTACCCTTGTGTTTAGAATGTTATGTTTTGACCAACAATTCTTGGAAACTGCGGTAATTCCCTAGTAGAATTCATTCTATGAAATCTCTGGTAGCAGTATCATATATAGGGTTGGTATGTTCTAATCGTCCACCCTCTTTGATATTACTAACTTGGTTAATTTTCATTGCCTTGTTAAGGTGACATGTCATATCAATTCTAGAATTTATCTATTATCTGCCCGATACATGTTCTTAGTCAATGCCACTTTTGATGCTTGATGTTTGCCCTGGTATTTTCCTCAATGAGAATTGCCTTAGCCAGTTCTTACAGGAAATATACATTGAGCTCTCTCCAATGATAGCTACTTCTCTAGTTTAGAAGGACCTTTTAACAAGACTTACTTTGCCAGTGCTAGATACCTTAGGCTATTTAGCCCTATGATCATTCATTTGGTGCATAGGCGGGATACATACCTCATGTCCTATTTAATATTTTTGACTACTTTGGTTGGTTTTGTCCGCCAAGTTGAGTGACATGTTTTATCAGTTTAACCACTGATCCATGTCTTATCAGAGTTCTTTGATCTCCAGTTATACTTTGAGCACGTTGTCGCTTGTTATTTTGTCATATGGTTGTTCTTCTGATATGTATAAGCAAGATACATGACTCTTGTCTCATTTGATGTACGACCAAGATACATATCTCCTGTGTCATTTGATATGCATAGTAAGATGCATACCTCATAGACTATTTGATCAGGATATACCTCCCTAATCATTTGATGTTCTGATCAATAGAACTATTGCCTTCACTTGGCCAACACTTGATGATAAGACCTTCTTTTGAGGCACGTCGGGTTTCATAGCCAGTCGGCTTTGAAGCTTCTCAAACCATATGCCTGCTTCAGTTGGTTCCTTTATGAGAGCATCTTTATCTTTACATAGCCATATTTTGTAATATTTCTTGAGTCCTACAGTGTTGTAGTTGGCTTAGCAGGAGTACATCTTGTCTTCAGACACTTTTGGCTTATAGCCATGTTTCTCGAGCCATGTGACCTTGACGTCGGCTCTGTTATGAGGATACGCCATCTTGTGACATTTTTGGCTTCGTAGCAGTTTTATGACACTTCTCGAGCACTCTAGTCAACTTTTATGAGAATATATTATCATATCCGACTTACTACCCTTTTGATACTTCTCAGGACATAAGTCCATTTTAGTTTAGTTTGTTTATTAGAGTATCCACTCTTCAAACATCCCTGACCACATGCCATTTATGTTGGGTGCCCCTAAAACCATATGACTTTATAGTCGGTTTGATGATGAGTGCGCCTCAACTGGCCAGCCAGATCCCGCCTATTTTAGGATCTTTATAATTTCTAGCCACCTCATTATGGTGATGAGCATTCCTTCTCCATGGGAGTTGATCCAACTCACAATCAGGCTCCTATCGAGAGAACGTAGTAGGAGACTTGTGGTCACATGAGATGATTGAGCCTCCTCCCATGTTTTCATTTTGAATAAGGTCAGGAAAATTTTGGGTTCCCATCTCTATTCATTTGAATTTGGTCAGATAGAGAGTGGTTACCTCTTGCGACTAGGGGTGGCCTTTATGCTAAAAGCCTATATGCAGGAGATGAAAGACTTGGGTCACACGAGATGATTTCGACTTTCCATACTATATAATCATTGGAATAGTTGCCACTTTAGCCAAGATGTCATCGTCTTTATGACCACTTGGACTGTCGTGATGGGTGCCACCCTCCGAGAGAACCTTCTAGTTAGTTCTTCGCATGAGAGCATAGCAAGAGACCTTATCACACTAGATGATCGGGCCTTCTCGATCGGCCATACTATATAGTCACTAGTTTAATTGCCACCTCTGATCAGGATATGTTGTGCTTTATAGTAGCTTGATTGAAGTGTTGGGTGTTTTGTCTCAAGGATATCAGTTAGACTAGCAACTGGGGTCCCTTTCAAGAGAAACATAACAAGAGACTTGGTCACACAATATGATTGAGCCTTCTCCCCTACCATTTTTTGGTCACACAAGATGATTGAGCCTTCTCCCCTACCATTTTGAATGTGGTCAGATATGGGTTTTTCATCAGATTTTTTTTTTTTATTTTGAATGAGTTCATATTGATCAATATTATCATTTCAAATGAGGTCAGGCAAACCCTTAGCCAAAAATGTCCAGTTTATTTGGCGTGGTTGGGTCCTTCTCCCAACTGTTTCGAATGTGGTCAGGTATGAGGTTTTCATTGATTTTGTTGTTTTGAATGAGGTCACACAGATCAATATTGTCATTTCGAATGAGGTTGAAAAAATCCTTATTCATTCAAAGATGTCTAGTTTATCTAGCCTGGCTGAGCTCTTCGGTGGACAGTTAGCTTCGACTGTTGACCACCACCCCCAACCATACCCTGCCCTGTTTTTCTACCCTGGTTGGGATCTTTTGTGGTTATGCCTCTACGACCTCTGAACCACCCTCTTAGGTTATGCCTTTGTGGCCTCTGAGCCTATTTTCGTGGTTATGCCTCTACGGCCTTTAAACCACCCTCCTAGGTTATGCCTTTTACGGCCTCTGAACATATTTTCATGGTTATACCTCTATATCCTCTGAATTACCCTTCCAAATCATGCCTTTACGGCCTCTAAACCCATTTTTGTGGTTGGTCGGTCACGATTGGCTAGCCATGCTCTCAGTCATACCCAGTCCAATTCATCTAGTCTGGCTGAGCTCTTTGGTGGACAGTTAGCTCTGCCTACTAACCACCACCCCCAACCAAACATGTCTAATTTATCAATCCTAGATGGGGTGTTCTCTTAGTCTTCTCTTGGAATGTCACCTAGACTACCAGGAGAGTCTTTCCTTTGAGGATGCACTATGCCTCAGCAGTGCGACACACTTATTGGGGGTCCTTTGTTGGCATCAATTTTTGATATCATAAATTTAGGAGGTCCGCTTGAGTACTAAGGAATGTTGCTTGAAGCACATGTTGACTCCTGTACCGCGAGACATCCATTTTGGACCTTTGTGCGTGTGTTGAGGAGCATATTTTTGAGGTTGTTTTGCTAGGCTATGGCTTTCGCTTATGCGAAGGCCTGTTGACATTCTGTTTATCGGACGACTCCGATTAGGCCAATGAATATTATGTGTCACGACGCACATGAAATTGGCTTGAATTGGCCCGGTCATCAATGAAGTCGCCGAAATGACCCCGAACAAAAAAACAGTCCGCGCGAGCATGTCTAAAACATCACCATTTTACCTAGGGAGCACGTTCATTTCGCCACAACTTTGAGATGGGTCAGAATGCATGAATTATATTTTTTTGCCTAATCATAAAAAAAGTGGCCTGAACGACCCCATATGATAAAACAGACCATCTCAGTGTGTCCGGAACCTCAATTTTACTTACGGAGGATGTTCATTTTACCATGATGACACGTTCGGCAAAAAAATGCTCCGAGAGTTTTAAATAAAAAAAATAATTATAATAATATTATTATTAATATTAATATTATTATTATTATAAAAATAAAAAAATGATACTATCTTTTTTTTTAATCTCACAGAACCTCTCTCTTACTGATCTTATCGCATTCGGCCTGCTGCTCCATCCCTCTCGAGCCTGATGCGATGGAAATATAGTTGTGTAAATTTTATAAAATTGACTTCGTTTTATAACGGTGCCAAAATCTTGATGTGGTATTTTATAAATAATAAATTTAAACTCTTAATGTCAGTATTCTATGCAAGTATACGTATCGTTATCAAGTAATATAAGATTTTCTATTTAAGTCTCAAAAATCAATCCCACGAGAAAAGTTTAAATTTAAAATAATAAACTAACTAGGAAATTTATAACTAAAATGAAATTACTGTCACTAATTTTGAATGTTTAAGATACTATAAAAACTAAATTATTAACTACTAGCAGAATTTAAATGCAGAGTTTTAAAATAGTAACTACTAAACTATGTTTATGTGATAAAGTTTTCTTGTATGAAAAAACATCTTTCCCACTATAAATCACTATAATGAGTTTTTTGTGAAATGAGATGAGATAAATGTTTAAACTTGTATTGTGCCAAATAGGAGCAATTTTAATTCTCTACCCTAATTCAGTGTTGTAGAAAATCGTTAGCTAATTGACCAAAGAAAAATATATTGAGATTTTCATACCTAATTTACACTGATTTTGATGATTTTGCACTTTAAAGAAAGGTATTTTTGATTTTTTGTTGCAGGTATGTTGAATTATGGTCATTGGAGCAAAAAGATGCAAAAAGTAGCAAATTTGGAGCGAAAACGACCAAAATATGATGTTCTGAGTTAGGGCGCCGATGGCGATCCCAACGGCGCCGATGGCGATCCCAACGGCGCCGACGGCGAGCCCAATGGCGAGAATTTCCCAAGACTCCAGATTTAAATATTCTAGAAGGCCGCCGACGGCGCCCTCAAGGCCACCAGCGAGATCGGCGGTTATCTCAACAGGTGCATTGAATGTGGACGATTTTTTAGGGAATGCTTAGGCAACTCTTGGCAAAACTCTTCTACAACTTTAAGAGAAACTTTTGGCCAAAAAAAAAAGAAAGGTGTGTCTGTGTGTAAGGGAGAGTATAGGGGAGAAGAGTGTGTAGAGAGTGTGTAGAGAGTGTGTAGAGTATAAAGAGTTTAATTTAGGGTTAGATTGTGAGGAATTCTTCGAGAGATTGTAAGAGTGGAGGGAAAGTGAGAGATTGCTTCCTCCTTACCACTTTGAAGAAGAATTCTGTGCACTGAAAAGAAAGGAAGAGATTCAGAGGAACTTCGAGGAGTTTTCTTGGGGAGGAATTAGAGATAATTAGAGATAAGTGAGAGATAAGTGGTATTTACTTATTGCAGTTTGTATGACTTTGCTTTTATATTTAAATTTCAAGTTTTTTTGTATCTTCACCACGAGTTCTGAGTAGTTTTCTCTGTCTTTCTCCTTGTCTTGAGATTTTGTGAAATGCTGATTTGAATTGGTTGAGCCGTGAGAATGTTAAATAAGTTGTGATGATCTTTTCACTTCGATCTTAATTTACTTTCACTTTGGCCAATTGATTTGTTAAAATATGTTGAGTTTTACAACTAAAGTGAAGATTCCGTCAAAGATTCAGGGAGGTCAAAGTCCTTGAAAGTTGGGTGCAAATAAATAGGGAAATAAAATTATCGGGCGTAGAATTGGAGATTTTCGAGTGACAGACTAAAATCCTCAATTCGGTCCTATCATTTGGGTGCTGAAGTGTAGATGTTAGCCCTCAGGCAAGGAGAACGTGGGAGC